TAGGGGTCTCATTATGGTTGGAAGGGATGGCAGATGTAGGGCCCACAGTTTGTGCAGGCGCAGGTGTTGACACAGGACTTGGCCTAACTGACCGTGACCGCTGTGTGCTAGGCAGAAAACCTTTACGTTTGAGGACTGCTCTAAATATTGCTGCCTCGTTCCTGTGGACAGGTGGCTGAAATTACAAATAGCTGTAAGTGAAGGAATTGATGAAAGTGGGGGAAGGAAATCACCTGAAGTCTGAGAATAGCTGCTTATGCTGCTTAAGGGATACAAATGATTTTGTTTAGATTTGTCAGTTAGGTTAGTTATATATCGAACAAGATCTAGTGTAGCTAATTCTCTATCAAAAATCAGATTTGATTTTACATTTTTTTTTTTTTTATTAAGTTCTATTTTCTGACCAAAATTCTTCAAGCATGATACTTGGTAGAGACATACAATACTGACAATGAAACTACAAGAATTATTTAATTCTATAAATAAAAATTACTCAGTCAAATATTACCATTTTCCAATTACATTATAATTGTTGCTACTACCTATATTGTCTCAAACAAATAGAATATAGGCTTAGAAGAAAATAGATGTTCTGCTCATCCATAAATGATATTAGATAATTCAATAGTTGATAGGTCAGAAGCACTTCATGAGGCAATGTATTTATTTATTTTTTTTTAACGGAATTACCTTTTCACATACAATATTAGTTGCAAAATAAATAAGAAATATTCCTAATGAAAATGAGAGAGAGAAGTAAAAATACCTGGGTCCTCAGAATCAATATTGAATTATTCAGCAAAAAGTGTCAACGACTAAGGTTTTGTTTCATCCAAGGTGATGGATTAATTTTCTTTTTATGTTATAAACCCTTCATGGGTCATTTAAAGTGAAAACATTTTTGGATTTTAACCATAATTCTTTTTTGTGAGAGAATATTGCATTAATAATTTTTGGGAGTGAGATAATGATTTTTTCCAGATACAAGCTATATTTAACCCATAGCTGGGCCCATGCAAGATGAAGTGTTACTACTAATAAAAAGCATCTTAAACTATGTCTACAGTTATTATAAAAATAGAGAAAAATGACATGCTAATATTAGACAAACTCTATAATTATTTTTACTTTTTACTCACCAGAAACACTGAGGTAAATACTAACCAATATTTAGTATCAGCATCTAATAAGCAATGGTTACTAAGCAAGTGAAATAAAATTGCTTTAAACTGTTAATTCTACTAATTCCACTTACTTCTAAAGATAAATACACATGCATATACTCTTAGAAATCAAAATTTAAAATGTCTTCAGATTTAATTATAATAGCTTCAAAGAACCAATGATGATATCTAAACTAATTTTATTTTATAAAACATTCTGCAAATATTGGTTTGATTTTGTCTTCACCTCACCTAAACATATTCACTTGTCATAAATACAGTTGGACTAAATTATTATTAATAATAATAATCATCTCCAAACGATACCAATCCTAAATTAAAAAGAACATTGAAGCAATAGCGAAACAGTCAAAAAACATTTCTCTTCTCCTTAACCTTGTATAACATGGCACTGAATTTGATAGGTATTGCATTGCAATCATTGGTGGCATATGCTAGATCAAACACTGATTGGTTTGTCTTTAGCAAGTAATTTGAGAGATTGAAATGCAGCCTGGGAGAGAGTGTGTGTGTGTATATATATATATATATATATATATATATATATTTATTTATTACATTGTGAAAGCTCTGACAAGAACACAATGAAAACAGATTATCTATATATAAATATATTGCATTTATTTCCTTGTGAAATGGAGCCCTTGATAAAAAAAAGAAAGGAAAGAAAGGAAAGAAAAAAAAAACAAAACATTCTGCATCTGTACACTTTTCTCAGCTGCTTTCATACCCCCCCCCCTCTAGCTTGTTTGCTGATCAACTAACAGGCTGCCTTAGACCGCCTTTGGGCTCATTGCCAAAATAGATTTTTTTTTCTTTTCTTCATTTTGTCATCTTAATTCCATTTTCTCATCCTCTGATAAATAAAAGGTTCTGAACTTTTACTTGCTTTCTGTCAAAACATCTTCCTTCTGTCCAAATTCAATACCATCCAAACTTTATATCACTACCCTTGCTATGCCAAATTCATTGAAAACTTTCGACAAACCTATTTCTTCAAAGGTGCCATTATTTAACATAATTAGAGTAATACTTGTTGGTTGCATTCATTCCCAGAAATTGCAACCAATTGGAATGAATGCTAACCCTCTCCCCAAATTTATAGACAAATCCTACAGATGCATGCTGGGATTTCTGCTTAGTCAATAAAAATGGACAATTCTTCATCTTATCCACACATTTTTTCATTCTTGCCTGAATCTCATTTGCATATGAACAGTTTCCTTTTTTTTTTTTTTTTTTTTACTGTTTTATAGTTGCTTTGCTATTGTCTTATAGTTGCTTTGTATTATATTGTTCATTTTTTTTTATTATTATTTTGCTGTTCCTCTTATTTCCATTATTGTTATTGGGAATTTTGTCAATTCCACTTAAAGTTGCCTGTTTATTCAACAATTCTACAACAGAGTTTACAAGTGGGTTATAAATTCTAACTATTGTGTATTTAAACATTTGCTATTTGAACAATGACAATTACAAAATGGCATTTTATAAAATGTGCCTTGAAAGTTAGGTTTATGATAAAGAAATTGGACAGAGAGGGAGTGATGCGAGATAGGTAGACATAATTAGAAGAAATTATTAAGCAAACACAAAAGTTCCTAACATTTTTTCTTGAGAAAACTACAGACTGAATACAGTTGGAAACTGGTTTAATTGACATTTTTGCACACAAATATTTTCAAGATATTTGTTGGGAGAAAAAAAATCTGATTTTTGAAGAAAATGTTTGGATTTTTTTCCCCTCCTCAAATATCAAAGAATTTTAATTCACAAAGAAAAAAACAAAATTTTTCTGAAGAGATTATTTGGTTATAGCAGTCTTCAACAATTTATATCAATTCACATAACTTTTTTCTTTTTTTAACTGTCATATTATTAAAACAGATAACAATGGATTTAGGTATATGATAAAGATCCGAGTTTTCAACATACATTAAGTAGGTTTATAGTAATACCAATGATTTAACTATGTTTTAAATTTGTCACACTAACTACCAAAATACTTGCTCTTGGGAGGCAGATATTGAAGGAAATCTTAACTGCTTAATTTCAGTAACATACTAAAAGGCAGCCATTTTCATATGTAACTACACACCTTCAAATGTCACTTCTACTTAAAACTGAATTCAAGGTCCCCCTCTCACAGCAAAAGTGAGTACTTATATATGAAAATGTCAAACTTAATCAGTTTGTAATCCCGAAAATCTTACTATCAGTTTTTTTCCAAGCACATAAAATTTCTTACTGTATAATATGACTTGATCAAAACTTAAAATGTAAATTCTAAAATTACTATTTTTCGTTTTCTAATATGCAAACTCAAAAATAGTAATATTGTAATAGACACTTATAAACATTTCCATATATTTTTAGTAAAGCAACAGAAAGAACAAAAATAGACTTTTAATGATAAGGAGTGCTAAAAATTCCTTTTCCCAACTTACTTTCCACTATCTGATCAAATATCAATTTTTATTTTGTGAATCACTTTTTTTGGCTAGAGCTGAGAAATTTTCAGCACCCATTTCTATATAATAATATTGAAAAGTTTCTTAAAATATCTGTATACTAAGTTATTGGATAAATAGCAAAAATGAGAATATATCTTAATTTTATGTGTGTATTTATGATTTAAAGATGTTACAAACTGATTTGTCATTTGACTGCCATTATACACTAAGCTTAATGATCATAATCATTAAAAGATTTGACATAAAATAATATTTCTTCAGATATTTTATTAAAATGGCAGTTATATTATTTTTTATAAATTCTCCTTGTGCTTCTTATAACTGTGTTGGATCCATTTGTCCTTCCCAATTCCTACATCAATCAGGTTCTAATCTTTTAAATGTATTTCCCAGAATTTCTTTGATGAAAATTATTTGAAAAAAAAAAAAAAAAAAAAAAAAAAGTTTCATTAGAATAAAACAGAGAATCAATAAAATTATCATCTTTAATATCATTGTGATTGGCTCTAAAGTAATTGAAATTAAAGTCAACTTTTTATTAGTATGAGATTAAAAAATACATAAGTTTTATTAACAGTTCTGCTAATAGAATATATGAAGGGATACTGCAAAGTTCATGGTCTGACGATGAAGAGATTCCTCCCAAAATTTGAATATTTAATCATATTCTGTGAAGAGGATCAGGCCAAGAGCTTTTCAGCACTCCCTCATATTTTAAGATAATTTAACTTATCCAAAACTTTAAATTCATAAGAGCTTTATGGTTACACAACCATATACCAAGTTGTCTAAGAGTGATGCAAGCAAGATGTAAGCATTAAATTGAAGTATTTTTCACATGGTCAATCAGAGAAATTTTTATTATAATAAAGTTTTCTTAATATAGTAATAAACACTAAAAATACAAAGTAATACCTGAACACTGCATAAATTTCTTTAAATTACTTGGCAAATTATTTTAACATTTAGCACTCTGCATAATTTATAAATATTAATTCCTGTATATGGAATCCCATCAAAATATAGTTTTATATATTAGTTCTATATATTTGAAATTGCAGTAACCTGGCCCTAAATTTTAGTCAAGATTGTTTTAGGTGTTGCCATAGAAAGATATGACTACACAAACAAGAAATTCAAATTTAACATTGGCAGGACTAACATTTTGCTTAGCAAAAATAGTCACTGACAGAGTGCTAAAGGTTAATTACAATATAGCTTTATAGGTTTCATATTAAAAAAAAAAAAAAAAAAAAAAAAAATTAAAATTTTTAAAAATATCAGTTGCTTGGTTATACAGAAAAAAAATCAGTGCAAACGTAATACACAATATTGTTCTTACCTCTCCAACCAACATTTCATAGATGAGGACCCCTAGACCCCACCAGTCAACACATCGTGTATAGGATGTTTCTGTCAAAACTTCCGGAGCCAAAAACTCCGGGGTGCCACAGAACGTGGTGGTTCTGTCACCAAAGCCCATTCCTTCTTTGCATAAACCAAAATCAGCAATCTTTAAATAACCTTCTCTGTCTAGAAGCAGGTTGTCCAGTTTTAGATCTCTGCAAAAAAAAAAAAAAAAAAAAACAAATATCAGAGTCACTCTTTGTGAACTGAAAGCAATAATAGCCAAGTAAGTATTTTCCTAAAATATACTTTTTATATTATATAAGGAATTAAAATCCCTCATAAACCAAAAAGAACAAACTTATCAGCTCCATCCCTATCAAATTCAAATTTCCATATGTTCTACTTTTGGTAAACATTTATGAACAAATTATATGAAACTAAATTACACTAACAAGTTTTACTTGTTCATTTCAAACCAATAGAAATAATTATTTATTTCTGGTTTTAAACAGAAATTTTTACCCAAGGTCAAAGAGAAAGTGGTGAAAGGCTGATCATCAGTAACTATCCTAGTCAATCACAACCCATTCATTCATTACAATATACCCAATCTCCACAAGAACTTATCCATTACCTCTCAATCCTAAATATACCACATATTCTCAGGAGACCTACAAAACACCCCATGACAAAAAAAATTCATAAAAGTTTAAATGTCTCTCTTTTACAAAAACATATAAAAATTTATATAATAATGAAAATGATGGGGGAGGGAATGAACCCAAAAATAAAATAAAACAAACAGACGTTAGTAGGACCCAACCACCTGTCAAAAATAAGAGAGGCCACTGTATTCTGCTGTTTGACAGAATTAAGCAGCACACTCACTAATGAAATGGGAAGGCAGAGTGGGGAAAAGAAATCAAAGTCTGACCCAGTCAAGGTGAAAAGAAAAAAAAAAGAAAAAAAAAAAAGAGGACAAAAATAAACTGGGGAGACTGGGAATCTCGACATGGAGAGTGCTGGAACAGGCCAGGAACATCATTTATTCACATTAAGTAGGAAAACAAATAGTGTCTAAATTATCAGGGGAGGGTTCACAGGAAACCGCCCCGTGCTTTAAGGGGACTTAAAAGAGAAAATTAAGGCTAGCCTCATACACACAAACCAGGCTCGCCACAGATTCCCGCCTTTCACTGAAATCTGCCAATATCAAATGCTTTCTATCAGATCTGATCTTCATCCTGAGCTGATGCCCAAAGAATCCAATCAGATCCTGATGGGAATAACATATCATAAGATTCCTTCCATTTGTGACATCCACACTACCATTCTTGCCATGTCTAGCAATGTGAGAAACACCATCCGTTTCACCCCAGAGAACAGGGGCGACACATTGTCACACACGTATGTGAGATCAATGGACACAAGCTGATCAGGAGCAATACAAGCAGTCAACTCGCCAACATAGTCCCAGAAAGGGTGCACCTGAGAACAATGGTAGAAGGTGTGTGAAGCCATTTCTTCTAAGCCAAGGTCACATTGATGACATTTGAGCAAATCTGACCCACCCAGTCTGAAGGCTACATCATTGAGAGATACCTGACGATTAATTCGGAACGTGCTAAGTGAAAACTCAGGGTTGCTGAGATACTTCACCGCTGACACCCAAGACAAGAACACAACTCTTATGCCCACAAGCTGAGCCAGCCACAAAAAGGGTCTTTTGTGACCCCCTCCATTAATTCACCATACAATAGACTATGAGGCTATGAAAGGTCACTGGACTGAGGAACGACCTTCAAGGCCACTCAACATTCACTGAGGAAACTCAACAGCTTCCCGAGCCTATGACGACACTTAGCCCAAAAAATGGGAAGCCTCACCCACCCCTTATTCCCAATAACAGCCCCACTAATTCTCGCTGCACTAATCTAGTCAGCTGTTGTTGGAAATCCTGCCTGTCCAGTAAAGACGGATTGAACTTCCAGTGTCCAGCCATTCTAGGCCTAGCACCTAACACCATCCGAGCACAGACAAATCTATGGTCCGAATAATCTAACCGGTGGAATGTGAGACAATCTAGCAAATCTAGATTGACCCTTCTAATTCTATTCAGGTAGCTGACTCCTTGAAGAGACACCAACAGATTATCCAAGGCTTCCAGTTCCAATGTCTGTGGTAATTCAATCATCCCTGGCAATGCTGCCAACATCCATTGGGAAGATTAACTTAAAAGTCCTATATAGAGAGGGGTATAGCTGAACAAGGACCCTCCCAGCACACAGATAATTTTTGTTTTGTTTTAGGTCAGGTGACATTATTCGGGCCATTCTAATGTTTGGGAAGGCATCTTTGGCACCTGCCAAGTGGCCCCATCAAACCAATACGAATTACTGCAAAACACTTGCCCATCCCCATTTTATAGGCAGAAGCACAAAAATGCATGCTGTGATTTCTATCTAGCCAATAAAATAGGCCAGTTCTTGGTTTTATCTGACTCAGTCCCAGTCTGTCTTGTTGTGAAGTCAGAACACTACATTCACTTGTCTGAACTTGCTTTTGCGTGTCAACCCCAATTCTGAGTTTGTGAATTTTTTGTCATATTTTTTTCTTTATTGCAAACTTTGTGAATTCTATTTGTTGGACAGTTCCTTTACTTATTTTGCATTTGATCATGGTTACTCACTCCACATTTTTCCTTTTTATGTAAAGACAGAATTTATTCATTCAAGGATTTTCTGTTAAATGGAAAATAGCTTGAAATCAAAATAAGATGCCTATCTTACCTGTACACTATGTTATGCTCATGGAGGTATTGCAGACCAAGCACGACACAGGCCGCATAGAACACTGTCCGCGGTTCAGTGAATACGTCACTGTGGATATGCATCATCAGATCACCCCCACAAGCATACTCCATTACAAATACTACATGTTGCTGGAAAAAAAAAAAAAAAACATTGGGTTAAAACAAAAACAGGCAAAAAGTTCTTGGGTACAATGACATTTACTGATATCTTTATGATAGAACCAATTTTGAAAAAACATTAACTAAAATACTAATGTCTAACTTAAGAAAAAGTTGGTACAAATGTATATTTTTTTTTTAACCATCATACATTTAAAATCCTTGACTTACAATGGAGGAGGAGTTTTAAGAAACAGAAAAAAAATTTTCTTGTTGGTTCAATTTAACATTAATTTTACAAAACAGACAAGACAAATCATAAAAATTACATTTATCCAAATATATATACACTTGGATAAATGTAATAGAGTTTTCGGCTCTTGTTTTGAAACATGAGACCTCTTATGTCTTTTTAAATAAATAATTATTATGTGTGTATATATATATATATATATATATATATATACACACACACAATTATTAACATATACTTAATACCTCTGTTATATTACATCAAACACTATTTTATTAACACCAGCACTCAGTGTTCTATATATATATATATATATATATATATATATATATATATAGAGAGAGAGAGAGAGAGAGACACATTGAGGCATCAAGAGCATAAAATACATTCCTTGAAACTTCAGTAACGAATTGAATGATCTTTATATAATCCAATCAGAAAACATTTCAAAATGATACTTATAAGATACCATAACAAAAGAAACTCGCAGTTGGTTGAAAATAATAAAATTACGATATTTGGAAACTGAGTAAAAAAAAAACGCAATTCCGGGACAGTGATGTTATAATAGGATAAACATCCGTACATTCTTTATAGTTCTCAATCAGTAGAGATTACACAGGAGTTATCTCCCTTGGTAAACATTACTATTTGAAAGAAAATTTTTGGTATTGTATTATAGTTTTACGTGCTAATAAAGGTATGAATCAATCTCTTATCCCCCAGCTATGGGTAAAATAGAATAAACTGGGTCCTATAGTTTTGTGTGGAAACCAGTTTAAGAGAAAGAAACTGAATTCAAACTGGATCACACTATCCTAAAAGTGTGCATGGGACCACTTATGAATGTAAAATTCCAACTAAAACTTCTATTTGTATGACTGAATGAATACAACCTCTCCCACATTTGATCAGCTTTCATTAGGATGTGGTATCAAAAGGAGCCGAATGTTCCATGAAAAACAAAAGGAATTGACTATTATAGTTTAGATTAATTTTGTTTCAGTTGTAACATTTTGGCCATTGTAACCTCTGTCTTTCCTCAAGTAAAACCTGTGGAGAGAGCCAGGTATGTACCAATGAGATAGCAGATGCATAGATGACACTTCCTCCAACAAAATACCTACAATCCTGTGAATATAAGGACAAGTAAATAATGCATGAACTTAGCTGCTGCTGAATCTCATGAGAACATGTTAAATCTACAACTTTGTCCAATTTGCACTCATATTCATTCACGTGTTTCCATTGCAGAGGTATTGCATTTCCAACAGCACACCTTTTGTCAGATATGTATCTATACTGTACACACTTCAGGCGTGATCCTTATTCAGTCTTCCTCAGTTTATTTATATTTGTTTATTATATTCTTTATATTTACTGGTATTATACAAAAGAAAAAAAAAGGAAAGAATGAAGACTAGTTGCTATAAAATATGTCCAGGATGATGTTCAGTAGGGCAATATTTGACTGCAGTTGGTTTGACTAGTATTGTGAGAAGCCAAAGTCATTTTATACATAAGGTATATGGAAAAAAAAAAAAAAAAATCAGGTTTTTTCACAAAAAGCTCTGGGTTTGCACTATACACAAAGTATATATGGTATATATTACACACACAAAAACAGACAAAACCAAAAAAACAAGACAGACAAAACCAAAAAAACAAGACAGACAAAAGAAAAACAAAACCAAAAAACACCAAAAATAGACAAAAAGAAAAAAAGGACAAAAAGAAAAAACCCCAAAAAGAGACAAGACAAAAAAAGACAAAAAAAGACAAAAAAAGACAAACAACCCCCCACAAAAAAGACAAACAACAAAAAGAAACCCCAAAAAGTCAAACAACAAAAAGAAACCCCAAAAAGTCAAACAACAAAAAGAAACCCCAAAAAGTCAAACAACAAAAAGAAACCCCAAAAAGACAAACAAAAAAAACAAAAAGACAAACAAAAAAAACAAAAAGACAAACAAAAAACAAAAAGACAAACAACAAAAAAAAACAAAAAAAAGACAAACAACAAAAAAAAAACAAAAACAAAAAAGACAAACAACAAAAAAAAACAAAAAACAAAAAAGACAAACAAAAAAAAAAAAAAAAGACAAACAACAAAAAAAAAAAAAAAAAAAGACAAACAAAAAAAACAAAAAAAAAAAGACAAACAAACAACAAAAAAAAAAAAAAAAGACAAACAACAAAAAACAAAACAAAAAAGACAAACAACAAAAAAAAAAAAACAAAAAGACAAACAACAAAAAAAAAACAAAACAAAAAGACAAACAACAAAAAAAACAAAAAGACAAACAACAAAAAAAAAAAGACAAACAACAAAAAAAAAAGACAAACAACAAAAAAAAACCCAAAAAGACAAACAACAAAAAAAGACAAACAACAACAAAAAAAACCCAAAAGACAAACAAAAAAAAAAAAAAAAAAAAGACAAACAACAACAACAAAAAAAACCCAAAAAGACAAACAACAACAAAAAAAACCCCCAAAAAGACAAACAACAACAAAAAAAACAAACAGCTCCACATTCAGGTGTATTTAGTGTTTTATAAAGAAGCAACCTTCAACTTACTCTTGTTTGGAAGCAGGCAAATAGGTTGACTAAGAACGGATGCTTAGTGGAATTGATAACCTCAAAGATCCTCCGTTCAGACATCAAGCTTTCCACCTCATCCCTTTGGATAATATCCGTCTTTTTGAGGGCCTTCAAGGCATAATAATCACCAGAACTCTTATATTCAGCCAATATTACCTGATGAGAGAGAGAGAGATCAAAAGAAAATGTTTAATTTTTCATGGAAGGAAATTCAAAAAAATATCCAATGAGTGATAAATTAATCTTTATTTGATATAGGAATATTACAGATTTTCATGTATATTGCTTCATATGTTAAAGCATGAAGACATCTTTGTGAAATAAAGAAATTGTCAAGTCAGTTAAATTTTCTATTTATGGGACATGATTTTTACCTCTTTTACAAATCAAACATGTAAAAATAAAGCATAAGGTTTATATTTTCATTTTTTGATGGGTGGGGGATGAGTTCTTTTTGTGCCAAATTTGTAACAAACAAAACTGTCCTTTTGATAAATTTTATGAAGTTGCTTTACAAGTCTATCTCATTGCAGGAAATTCAGATCTTTCAGAGTAGAATAATAAAAATATATCTGAAATTATTCTAATCAAGTTGTCTAAGAACAAACAGAATTCTTAATCATTATTGCATAATTTATTAGGAGAGAGTGGAATTTTAAATAGCAAGTTTCTTTAAACTGAGCAGATCTGTCATCTTTTCGCATTTTTCGAATTTCTCCCCAATCACTCTTTATTGACAAGATGGATTCAATCTGTTATTCATTTGCTCATCAGAGAGTGAGCAGACGGAGAGAGTGGGCAGACGGAGAGAGGCACAGGGCCAGCAAGTCAGACAGAAAGAGAGAGAGAGAGAGTGACAGGAGAAGGAAAGAAGCAAAGTCAAAGAAATGGAAAGATAGTAAATTTTATACAACAAAGAAAAAATGTATGTATGTATGCTAAAGAGAAAATGCAAAGATGACACTTACCTTACCAAAATGTCCTCTTCCCAATACACTGATAGGGCGGAAATGTGACATTTTTACTTCTTGTTTGCTATAACTGAAGAAATAAAAGAAAGAAATTAATGGCAATTCTTGTATTAAGATTAGTGTTTATAATAAAAAATTTTATATCTGAATTTATTTTTAGTGTTTTGGAAACAGTGTGCTGCATGAGAAATTTCCTACAACTTTATGTTGCTAAGTTATTCATAGTGGCAAGTTAGGAATTGTTTTTTTATAAGAAAAAGTCAAGGTTTATGCTTATTGCTGTTCGGGGTTTTACGAGATTATATTAAAAAAATAAAAAGGAAAAAGTGCACTTAACTTTAATGTTATTTAAAATGTTTCCTTAAAAAAAAAAAATAAAAAGGAAAAAGTACACTTAACTTTAATGTTATTTAAAATGTTTCCGTAAAAAACAAAAACAAAAAAAAAAAAAAAAAAGGAAAAAGTACATTAATGTTATTTAAAATGTTTCCATAAAAAAAAATAAAAAAAAAAAGGAAAAAAAAATAAAAAGGAAAAAAAAAAAAAAAAAGAAAAAAGTACACTAAACTTTAATGTTATTTAAAATGTTTCCTTAAAAAAAAAAAAAAAAAAAAAAAAAAAACAAAGGAAAAAGTACACTTAACTTTAATGTTATTTAAAATGTTTCCTTTAAAAAACAAAAAAAAAAAAAGGAAAAGGAAAAAGTACACTTAACTTTAATGTTATTTAAAATGTTTCCTTAAAAACAAAAAAAAAAATTTTTTGTTTCAGGAACATTGTTATCTAATAAAAAATATCTCCATTTGCACTGGAAAAATAAATACAATATGTATAATATACTTTGGGGAAAGAAAAAAAAATCCTAAATCATACCGTCTTAATAGTTGAGTACTACTACTAGACCAACATTTCATACACTAGTCTCATGATAACACCAGGATGAAATATATGGTTAATGATAAAATATTTTCAAAAGTATACCAGTCTGTTGACTCTTAGTCATTTCCAATATATTCCTTGCCACATTCTAAGCTTGTGTTGTAATGATGATGCAGGTTATATAGCAGGAAATATGGTAATTGAAATTATAATTTATATTTTACTGTTGCTTACAATTTTGTGGATAGGGATACACATCACCACCTCCTACACACACTAGTGCTAATATTAGAGACAATAATTTGGCCTTAAATGAAATTGAATTCAGCTAAATCAATTTTAGTTTCTGTAAATATTTGTAACATTGATCAAAGTGCATTAAAAACAGATACTTATAGCTTTTAACCATAATTTTCTTAGATAAGACAAAAAAAAAAAAAAAAAAAAAATTACTTTCATGGAACTCTTCAGATTGTGCACATGGCTACTTAACCAACCCTATTGATTTGCTTTCTATAAATGCAAAAATATTTGATTCTGTTAATGTATCAGACAAAGGTTTACTATAAAAAGGAGGAACTATAATTACTTCAATGATAATGACATGAGCTTACTTGCTCATTTATGGCATATTAATGAATTTGGAAGCACAAATGGGGGGGGGCAATGGATTCTGCATCAAAGTGCTATATGTAATTTTCAAAGGGACTTTTTCTTTAGAACAGGACAATGTATTTCAGAATGCCAACCAGTAATGTTAAAAAAAAATAAAAAAATATAAAATAATAATAATAATAAGAGAGTTAGGATGAATGTAAAGCCTTCATTATCGTTTTTTTTTACTGAAGGGATTGGTCTCTATAAATATTCTCTTGACGTCAAAATCCCTTAACATTTAATGTAATCTGATGGATCTCAGCTGAAACAGACATTTTATGGTTAACAGAGAAAGAAGTCTTTAGTGTAAAAAATGCTTAGACACTACTAGCATGGCTGTCTTAGAAAACCTTTGGAAATAAACTTTGTGACATTTTTCTTTTCCATAGATTTCTGTTAGATCAAATATTTTATCATTTCTCATGTCAGAAGATTTTCCACAAAATAGCTACTGAAAATACCAAAAAAAATGCATTGACAGATTCTTATCATTGGAAAAAAAAACTTGTCTAATATTTCATGAACATTTTACCCCAAAATATAAAAAGTAAACAATTTTAAAAATATTAATTATCATTCTTAAAAAGAAATTCTGTCTTTCAATTCTAATCTATTATCACTTCATAATTTGAAACTAAAGAGAAACAATGATAATGCATAACTTACTCTGGGGGAAGGGGTGTAGTTTTCACTTCTGTTGGTGTGTCTAACAATGGTGGAGTCTTTCTGTTTTTAGCAGGAATTACTGGATCTTCCAAATTTGTATGGGAACTACTATTTTCTGTGACTAGATCATCTGGAAGGAAGTCAAATGATGATAACGCATCCTGAAAGAAATGAAAGTAGATTATTATATAAAAAAAAAAATAGTTTAATAGATATAGAATATTTGAATAGATAATCAGCATGAAAAAAATAAAAGAAAAAAACATGGCTGACAACAATTTTGAGAGAAATCAATCAAACAAGCGAAAAGTTAATCTTAAACATGAAAACAATTCCTAACAAGCAACTGATATGAGAATAACACCCTCAGGCACAATTTTTTCCTTCTCTGGTCATCTTGTGGTTATGTTGTAGAATTCTTAAAATTTCTAAGGTAAAAGATAATACTCTAAATTCCTACTTTTGATATCTGTTGCTTGATTATGCAAGGGGATGCAGAAAAGTTCTGACTCACCAAGAGATTAAAAATTTCTGATGGTTGAACTCCAAATAAGTATTTCAATAATCCAACAACTGAATACTGATTTTTAAAAACAGGCCAGAGAGAACTTTTTAGCATCCTATTGTGTGTGAAGTCTGAGAACTGAATAGTTTGTAAATTAAGTTCTTCTAATAGGGTGCAGGGGAAACAGACAAAAAGGATACAAAAATAAGCACAAGCCTTTCTGGTCAATCTTTATAATCGTTTAGTTTTGTATAAGAGGTTAACATTAAAAGTAATGCAATGTAAATTACTTAACATGAATGAAAAGCTTTGACAGGTTTATTTAAAAAGAATTTAGTTTTGAAATGGATGCTAATCTTGACAAAACAGTAAAAAAAATACAAACAAAAAAAAAAAACAATTTGTTCTGATTTTAGGTTTTAAAGAAAGAAAGTTAGACAAATGTATTAAAAAAAAAAAAAATCAACAGCAACTGCTGGATATCAAGAGGATTTTTTTTTTGCTCAGTTCCTTTTACAGTGATCATAAAAATTATTCATATGCTTCAATAAAAGTAATTTATGGATATAATTTAAATATGCTGAATGAAAAGAAAAAACTATTTTGATAAATTTACTCTGAATGTATTGAATTTAACAAAAAAAATTTTAAATTTAAATAATCCAAATAATCAAACAGCAAAAATTTTAGTGAGGGTAGAATTATTGGTAAGTTTACAGTTTTAAAAATAGAAAAGTTCATATATTTATGGAAAGCTAATTAATATACAATTCATTTGACAGAACCAAAATTTGCCAGCAATTTTAGATTTGTCTCTCATGTATGTAACAACTGATACCAAAACGAACAAAAGAACCTGGCATAGACCTTAGAAATGAAATTATGAAGTCTCATAAGAATGTTAAATGGTACAACCAGATTGTCAGTAAACTGTCATTAAGTGGTGTTTAGAGATTGGTTCCATAGTGAAGAAGTGTGGAAGAGGTCATAAATGAATATTTTCAGAATAATGAGACAAAGAATTGCAGAGAATAACCCTAGAATGACCAACAAATAACTAATGAATGAGTATGTTAAAGTTTCTCAGCAAACAGTGGGTAGAATGCTTGAAAAAGGAGTGCTGAGAGCATATGCCATCATAGAAAGACTCTTTGCAATTTTGCCATTTGAAGGTACTTGAAATTTACTAAAGATTATATTGAGAAGAATGATGACTTTTGGAAGGAAATATTATGGCCTAATGAAACAAAATTAAAAAAAAAAAGTTATTTGGTCATAATGACATATCACATGTTTTGGAGGAGAGGGAGTGGTAAAGATCATTTGCTGAAGAACAGCAATGAACATCAAGGGTGGTAAATTGATGTTAATAAGCCTGGATGTTTAATTAAAGTTGATGACATCATGAGAAAGGAGAAATACATTCATGCAAAATTACAAGTAAAGATTACAGAAAATTAACACTGAAAGTATGTGCCAATAATTTTGCTAAAATTTTTGTTTCATTATTTGTTTTTTTTTTTAATTTTTGAACCGTTTTGTTGAATGCAATATATTTGCAATAAATATTGTTTTTAATTTATATTAAAAGCAAATTCTACCCACAAAAACTACTTTATTGAATTGTGACAATTTTGCTGATTGCTGTATCAAGATGCAAGTTAACGTTTCTGTCAAAATTAGGACTTTCTTAATTTGATTATCTGTTTCCCCACCAACCACATATAACATTAGAATTTAAGGATAAAGATATAACCAATTTTACCAACATTAATGAAGGTTTGCATCAGAGAAGAGATAATTGCATTATTTCCTTCACTTGCAATAATAGATGTATTTGAAAACAAATCAGAATTTCAAATGTTGATTTTTTCCACCCCCACCCCTCCAATTAAAAAGATTGACACAATACAATCATCTTATTTCCATTTACCACATTTGGCCTTATGCTGGACTAAGACAATCATAGTAAATATCCTTACTAGTATACATAACCAAAGATGAAAATTAAGAACTAATCAACAGAAAAGACTTATTTAAAACCAATACATTAGATAAAACCTATTAAAACAAAACTGTTCTTTATTTCCCTCTTTGAAAACATTCAGGTAAAAGAAATGTATTCTAAAATAATTAGATTAAGCTTCTAACCTTAATTTCATTTTCTTGTGAGAAGGACCGAGGTGGTGTAGGAATAGCAGTAACAATGGTTTCTTCTTCATCTCTGGCTCCTTTTTCTTGATCAACTTCTTTTACAGTCTCTTCACATGGACGTGGGCTGAAATTCAACTGATGAATCGGGGGACCACGATCAGAAGCCAAAATACCAACTGAAGAAATAAAAGATACTTTAATCAATGATTCATAGAATTCAATATCAAAATATAACAAGATTTCAGGGCCAAAACCATTCATATTTTACTTTTCTAGTAGATTAATCCCAATTGGTCAGAATTCTTACATAGGACTGAATAAAAGGATCACATTTGCATAAGCACAAATATTGTTTAGAAATTTTGCAGTCATGTGGAAGCTATGCTAGAATGCTACTCAAGAAATGATCACTCTTAATTGGATTCATGAGAGAGAAAGTCTGATGTCATGGAGGCCCAAAATTTTCTATGGCCCCAGAATAGACATCACTGATCAAGCATTCTGGTCTGCAATATATACATATAAAATGATCTTGGAAATCAGTTGACAGTTTGTCTTCATGCATTTAATTATAAGAATGTGTGTAGGAGATAGAAATCAGTTTCATCTTAAAGTTGTCCGAGCCTACCTGCTTTTTCTGTTGGAGGGCTGTATACACCAGGTTCTCCACAAGGCTGTGGAAAAGCCCTCTTCATCAAACGACCCCAAGTTGCAACATTAATATTCATCTGTCCTGGACGCAGAAAGTTTTTGCCTAAATAAAGAAAATGATAAGAGGGTTATATTTGTAAAAAGATACAATTATTTTAAATACTTTCACTTCATGCCAAGAATTTAAAAATTGGAGAAACTATTTTTGGTATATTTAAGCAGACTTACAAAATATTACTCTCGTGAATGCATAAAATTTGAAATTCAGCATTTAAATTTATATCAAAGTTTTCAAAATTTAATTTTTCAATTTTAAATGTACAAATCTTTTAAAACTGAATTTTTTTTATTTTTTATTTTTTTTTTTTTTAAAAATCAAAAAAAATTTTCATGTCAAACTTTTTTGTGTATTTAAGTGCTTTAATATTTAAGAAAATGTAAATGCTATTTTCAAAACCCTTACACATTAACAAAAATTACTTATCAATGGAAGCACTCTCTCATGATAAATAGGATAATGTTAAAATAATATTTCAAGTTATGCCCTTGAGCAAATACTTAAGATGGAGTGGATTCTGGTGAAAATATAAAGTTTTATGATTTAAATAAGCCTTTTAAGCATATTCAGTGATAGAAATAAATACCTTTGTGTTTGGGGAATATCCTCCGTTGTCGCTGAAGCTTAGGTCTTCTTGAAATAGTAGGATTCATAAATGTTATCTGAAATTAGTCATTAGCAGTAGTTAAAAAAGTTTTTTTTTTTTATACATGTTCTATAACATGACTAACAAGTCTTTAAATTGAATTATGAGAACTATCAGCTAGAAGACAGGGATGACTATGGGGTCACCATTGTCTCCAGTAATTGCAAATATATGTTAAGCACTGGCTTTCAGAGCAACACTATTGAGATCATTAACCTGGTTAATATAGATGGGTAATATTTTTATACTCTAGTCTCACCAGGAAAATATGAATGTGCTTTAAGATCAGGTTAAGTCCCATCCTGCTCATTCACTCTCAAAAAAGAAATAGACAATGAATTAGCCTATCTTAGATGTACTAATAGAACATGAATTCAGGACATCCATGCACCATAAATTGACATTTACTGGATGCTATTTAAATGAAGATTTCTATTTCCCATATAATACAAAAAATTTTGGATTGTTCATTGCCTACAATGTCATGAAAAATACATGATGATTCTTCAAGCATAAGAAAAGCAGTAATCACGAGGTTAGAAAAAGGTGCTCATTACAATATGAGAGAAGGATAAAAGTTAACTTGATCCACTTCCTAAAATCTAACAAAACAGATAAAAAAAACTTTTTACTATCCCATCATATTTATCAAATGAATTGAGAAAATACTTTACTAATTCAGTAATTTACTAATGATTAGCAATAATTTCACAGTAAAGCGTTGTACATATACAATTCAATCCCAAATGCTGCTAAAAAAACTTTACTTCAAACAGAACAAAGTGGTAAAAAAAGAAAAAAAAAGAAAGGAGGCTTAGAAAAGATATGTACATTTATTTTTGTGAAATACTTTGTGATGAACTTTTAATGCTATTAGCAAACATTTACAAATAATCTAAGATCAAACTACTAAAATTGCTTTAAAAATTTAGAAACAGAAAAAAAAGTCTTATAAAACTTATCTTACCTCTGCAAATAATATGCCCCTTGGCTCTAAGTGGATGGCCATTCCATGTCGTTGGTTGTCAAGAAAATCTTCCAACCGTAAAAATTTCACTGCACACATTTGTCGCCAATCTCGCCAATGGATGGCAATCTCAAGTTCACGTGACTAGAAAAAATAAAAGTACATCACATAAAAATGATCTCAGGTGGGTTTGTAAATTCTGATGTTCTAAGAGAGATGGGATAATTCAGATCTTCATTAGGTGCTAATACCCTTGGAATCCTCCTCTTCTCCCCCAGTTATGGGTAGCTAGCAGGACAGAGCAGGTTCTATAGCCTTGGATGGCAACTGGCCTACTGCAGAAAGAAATGGGAAAAAATCTGCCTCATTAGTCATGTATCGAAAGATATATGATCGCCTAAGCATGTATCACGCATGGAACACAACTGATTAGTGGGTAGAAGTGATGTTCCAATTAATGAAATATTAACTAGTGATAGTGTAAGAGAGAAAGAGAAATTTATTAGAAAACAAGGACATTTCCATGATTCTATTAAAATCTGCATAGAATCAGGAAAATGTTTTATGAATTCTAAAAATGGTGCTAAATTGTCCAAATATTTGTCTTATTTATAGGCTTTGTTTTAATTAAGAGTAGAAATGATTGAATCATTGATTTATAAGCAAGAAAAAATTAGACCAAAACCAAAAAAAATTCCAGATTTTGAAGAATAACTCATCAAAGTAATTTTATGCTGTTTTTATACACAAATTGTATGGCATAATTTATTTTCTTTGTCAATTTGGATTAATAAATTGTAGTTAATGTGGGTGATATAGTCATTAAAATAATGATGAAATTACATTTTTGGTTTTTTCGCAATTTTTATTATTGTTACAGTAATTCTCTGCTAATAAACTTTCATAGTAATTTCTTCAATTCTGCTAACTTTAGCAAACAGAACCAACCTGTCTGTAAAATAAAGATTAGCATTGAAGAAAAACAAAGATATCAAATAGTTTGATAATAAACATTTGGCTACTTTTTTTTCTTCTAATTATTCTTTATCAATGAGTCAGACAAAAAATGAGTTCTGATTATGCTAAATAAATTCCTTCTAATCCTAACCCTTTGTACTTTTGGTGTTAAAATATTATTTACAGGATCTGAGAAATAGACTACATTTTAAACAAAAATTGAGGCTGCAGTATAATTTAATCTATTATTATTTTTAAGTGCAAAAAAAAAAAAAAAAATTTTTTTAATGCCATTATTTCTATCTGCCAAAACATTTCATTAAAAATAATTTCTAACTTACCAAATGCTAATCTGGTAAACATTACTTTTTCCAAAAGTAAAAACATTTCGTTACAATCTATATAATAAATGTGAATATCAGTAACTGTGTCATACTTTTTCAACTTTACTCCTATAGGCTGTAGCCCAACATACCATTCTAGAATAAGGCTTACACTGTGAGCAAATAAAAAACATTCCAGGCTGGATCCAGAATAGTAAAATTTTGGATTCCTAAGTTTTCATTACTGCAGTTGCTTTTGGCAATTTTTTTTAAGTGATTTTTTTTTTTTAGACAATTTTTTTTTGTATGACAACAATTTTTATAACTTGAAAATAAATTTGGGAATAATCAAAAATCATTGTGAAATGAAAGTCACCCATGAAATAAAAATAATTGTTTGTAAGGAAAATAAGGACCTGTGTACATCAAATTGTCTTTAAGTAACGACAGAATTCTTGTTGAACTTTTAAAATGTAGTGAGCAATTTTGAGTTCTTCTGTAGTTTATTGTTGCCTATTGCATCAACTCCTCCCTACCTATTGTGATGAAGGCCCACTCAAGAGCCCTCTGCAGGAGCTAGCTTAAATGCCACCCAATAGGGCAGCTTTTGAGCTAGTTTTAAATAAAACTGAAAATTTTAAAAATGTTTTTTTCTTGAGATACAAAACAGACCAATCAAATGATTGCATATATCACACTAGAATCAAGTTCACAATATGGTCAAAGCTATTAATGTCAACTTTTATTGTGCTAATGTTAGTGGAAGATTCATAAAAATTAAAAAGCAAGTCACTGCTCATATTTTTTCTACAGAATCTTTACCTGTCACATTACAAGGCAATCAAACAAGATAAATGTATCCCACCCAAATAAGAAGGATGATCTAGAAAGCTACCTTAATTACTGGTAAACTTTTTCTTTAAAAAGAAATTTGGTAATTATTGGTAAACTTTTTCTTTAAAAAGAAAAAAAAAAATCACACAAGGTAACATCTAAATAAGATTGAGTGAAATTCAGCCTAGAAATGGTATCTAGTTTTTTCTTGCATCATACTTCTAAAATATATTTAACTGTCAAATACTGAGAAAGCATTCTCTCCTATGTTTTGGGTTTAAACCTTCAAAGCCTCAGAGATATTTTTGCTTCTATTTCTAATTGTTATCAGCTTATATATATTATATATATATTTTTGTTAAATCTAAAACACGCCAATATATATAATGGTATGAATTCAGGAGAAAATTTTTAGTTGTGCCATCCTTATCCCATATCCACCAGTATTAGTCCATTTAAAAAGTAAATTATAGTTCTACTTATATTTGATAATCAATGAATTTTGATTAGAGAGGCTAAATTCAGAAGAGAGAGAGGGGAAAAAAAAGTGTCATATACTTTTCTCCTTCCTGATATTGGTTTTGCAACCTTTTCAATTCTTTTTGGCACATTTCTTTAATTGCCAATACACTAACTTGCTTGCTTCCAACATTTCTTTGAGATACAAACTCTCCATACAATGAGGCACTTGGCACACTGCCTGATTTTTATGCACATTTATGCATTGAGAATATTCCCCCCTTTACTAACACTGATTCTTGATATTAAGAATCAAGATTAACTCTTTCAATACAATTTGTTGGCAAAATAGCAGAAACTTATGCAACAATATTAATTCACTGATGAAGTTCATTTGCAGAACACAATGAGAAAATATTGGCATTTTTAAACATTAAATGATTCAGATGATAATCAGTTTGAAAGTGTGTGTGTGTGTGTGTGTAGGGGGTGAAGATGAGAAAGAGGAAAATTTTATTAACACATTTTGCTGTAGAGTGTAGGCTTTCTTTGGCTTCCCCAGGTTAAAATAAAAAAAAAAAAATGTGAGAAAATGCCTTGGAATCTCTGGGCATAAGTGGAAATAATAAATCAAATTAGTTACTTTAGCTTATGACCTCCCAATGTCCAAATTTAGAGAGTGCCTACCTGTGCGTTTGTTTTATCTATATTACAGCCATTTTGGATATATAATATATATGATATGATATATAATATATATCATATCATATATTATATTCACACACACAAAAATCCAAATGGCTGTAATATATATAGATAGATTCATGCAGGTGGTGTTTTAGCATGTTTATTTTTAGAATTTTTGGAAAGTGGTCTTTTAAAAATAGTTTAGCACAAAATTCTTATTCCAGATACATAATTGATTCTCTAGTAATATATCCACAAAACCAATGAAATAAATTATAACCATGAAATATTAGTGTCTGAGCCTTTTATATTATATATATATATATATATATATAAAAAACAACTTAAGTTGCACTCCAAACGTGTGTGTGTGTGTATATATATATATATTTTTTAATTTATTTTGTTTAAATGTTATTTTTGATGAATACTCATATTCAAATAAAAGCTTGTCTTTTTAATTAAATGGTATTTATTTTTTTTATCCAACTACATTTACTGACATGAATATTCAAGATATCTTGTCAAAAAAATATGCATCCTCCTGCATGATTCAAACCTGCATTCCCTATGGGGAACCATCACTGGATCTGACATAACTAAATACTGTATAATTTAAAAAAAAAAAAAATAAAAAAAAAAAAAAAAATAAATGGAGCTTCTACTCAAATATGAATATCCATCAAAAATAACATTTAAACAAAAAAAAATTAAAATATGTTGGGTTTAATTAATTTCCTAAATATAAATTGTCTTTGTTTATGTTAGGATATGAAACAAACCAGGATGTTTCGAAAATCAGCAGAAAGTGTGTTCAAAAGCACTATTTGGGCTTTGTTTGACTGGAAGCCCTATATGGCTGAGCAGTTAGGCACGACAGATCCAATGACAGTTCCCCATAGGAGATGTAGGTACAAGGAACCAAACATTTTTCCTGCATCGATAGATCATTTGTACAAATTCCGCTTGAGGTCTGGGGCAAGTTTAAGTCCCAATAGTCTCTCAAGGCATAGAGTGTTCCTGAGGGGGACATTCATTTATTGTGGCTGGTGGTAATTTGGGGTCCAAAGGACTGTAACTATTTTTTTTTTTTTTAAAGCGTTGAAAGTAACCAACCAGTTCTAACAACACTGCTGCTAATAGAAAAATTATAGCAATATTTTTTCAAAATATTTAATAAGAGGTGATTGAATATATTGGTAAAAATAAAAAAAAGCTTTCTATATGTACATCAGTTGTTTAAAAACATTCTTATATTATTTTTAAACATTTTTTTTTTCAAAAAGCCAAACTAACTTTTCTTATTAATTCATTCCGATTGAAATATCCACTTTTAAAGGTAAATTTTCATTTTAGAGTGTTTACTTTATATCTTAAATTACATTTTCAATACTTTAAAAAATGAGAAAGCCAATCTTTATTATTATCATATGATGAGATGCTGAAAAGTTTAGATCAACTAAGAAACTTTTAAAGATCTCTTCATTTAGTCAGATTATAGAAAGTAGACCAGACTAAGAACATTTCAGTACCTCTTTGGAGAATAAAATTTCAACAATTGCTATTATACAATGGCAACCAACCCAATTGAGAAATTGAAAACCTCAAGGTGGTAACATTTCAATTATACTCTACAATAAAAAGCAATTATTATATTCTAAAAATAAAACCAATAAAACACACCCCTGTATACACACTATATTAGAATACCATTAAGAATTGCCAGAGTTGGCCAGTGTAATCTTTCAGAATTTGGCTATGATATTCATGCTGGTAAGTTTCCAACATGCCTTTTCTACAAGAATTAATCAAAGGACACTAAGATCAATAACAGAACACACAAACACCGATTACTAGCTGTAATACTAATAAGGAAAATATATTGATCATTGTTCTGGCATGGAGTGGTTCACAATTTAGAAACCACAAAATAGGTATGTAAAAAGGAGAACAAGAAGATAAGACTAAAATATACAAATGCAAATAGTCAGAGGATGTAACGAGAGAGAGAGAGAGAGAGAGAGAGCTTGTCCCAGACAAAGAGGTCAGAAAGGTTAGCCTGTGAATAAAATATTTACAAAAAACTCAAACTGACCCGATCCAAAGTAATGGATGTTCTGTAGTCCCAACACTGCTGACTGCAAGGTTTCCAAGGAGTTTGGACAACATGTTGATTGTCCAGTTTCATAACTGCCATTACATCATCTGCAAGAAAAACAAAATAACCAAGTGAATTATTTATTGTAATTTACACAACACCAGAAATAGCATTAGATTATGCATACACTGTAGGGAGGGGTCCTTACCTCTTTTCTCCCAAGTCTGATATAAATTAAAAGACAAATCAAGGTAATGGCAAGAGAGAACAGAAGAAAAGTCAAGTTTATTCCTAGACTAATGATAAAAACAGTTGGTTCTAACAACACTGGTAGGAAACCATTTCAAACTCTCTAAACATGGATTGACTATCAAATTTATTCTAAGTGATTTAAGGTTTACTATCAGTCAAGAGTTGAAAATGATCACACAATATAGTTTTCAAAGTAACTGGGATTAAATCTATCAAACATGTTATTGATTGATGTTAAATAAAAAAAAGAAAAAAAAAAGAAAAAAAAAGAAAATGTCATTAAGCAATTTTCATTAAAAATATTTATAGTTTTGAATTAATAATCCTTTTTTATACAATTTGGCTGATAAATAAGAACATAAAGCAATATAGAATTATACAGAAAATCTAGGTAGAAGATGAGCTAACAAATGAGAAAAATATCTAAAGAAAAATCCTTCCGACTGCATTAAAGCCCCATGACTTCACCAAAGCTTGGGTTGAAGGAAGCAAGGAAACCTATATTGATAAAACTGCCTATGCAATAAACCTAAATGTTCTTTAATTTTACTTTTTAATTAATATTGACACTTGTATAGTCTTAATACAAAGAAGTTGTTTATTCAAATCATATTAGCATTCACTTCAGAAATGCTAACATTTTCTGCAGTAAATTAAAACTGATATTTACAGAAACAGATTTTACATTTTGCTTTGTATATTTATTTTTCTCATAGTTTATTTCTTAAATTTAACTTTCAGATATTAATAGTTTTTTTTAATTCTTTAGGATTATAATATCTGGTCAATTCTATGCAATTTCATATCATTTCAAACATCCCTTTGCACTGAAATCATCAAAACTTGGTTTTATTAAGTAAATGTATAAATTTTAATTCACATTTTCCCCAATAACAAAAAACATGGTGAAAATTATGTCAAGATATTGTCTGTTAAATAAAAGGAAAGATCCTGTGACTAAAGGATAAGTTGAAAAAGAATCCTATAATAAAGGTTTTTACAATTCCATTGCAGTGAATTATTTGTATTTCTATAGATAGATGCATTTTGATTGTAAATATTAAACATGTCCTTTTCTTTTAAGCTATTTTGCTAATACATTAATGTGATCCACTACATAAAGCATAATTTTTTGATAGATAAAAAAAAAAAAAGGCTATTTTCTTTTTTATATTCCCAATTTTATTGATAAAGCAGGAATGTGATTCTGTTCAAGCAAGAGGCTGTAGGGAAAAAAGCAGAATAAGAAATATTCTTTCTAATGTTACAAGTGAAAAAAAATATGCAGAAATTTTTTTTTCTTCTTAAATACCAGAAATCATGATAATAATAAACAGTAAAGGGTGTTCAATTAAAATTAAATTTCTAATCATCAGAAAAGTTTTTATAATATCCATGAACAATGTCAATCTTCATGTAACAATCTCTGAATAAATGGCAAATGCACAGGGGTGAGTTTTTGTTTAATAAAAAGAAAAATGTATTATACTAAAGTAAAAATTTTAACAGCAACTATATTTTATATACTCTTTAACACTTTTACTGCTGCACTGTTACCTGGGTGTGCTGACCGGTTTGGGGAAAAATAAGAAATTGTCATTTATGGGAAAATAAATGAAGACACTGATAGTAATTTTTTGGGGTGCCAGTATGTTGCTTTTGATTGGATACTCTACAGTACAGGCTAAGCTAAATGACACCACAACACAGATAGTAATGTCTACTCTGGTTTAAAAAGAGCACTATAGATGATAGGAACTGATATTTCACAGTGACTTAAAATGTATATATATATATATATATATATATATATATATATATATATATATATATATATATATATATATATACATACATACATACATACATACATATATCTCCACTCCCCATACCTCATTGATAGCACAGCACAATTGTCAGGTACTGATTGAAAACTGACCGTTGCATAATTAAGTAGATATTTATACTATACTATGATAGTGGGGCAGTCCATTTTATTTAGTGTGTGGATTTGTGCATATATTTGTATTATATTTAAAAATTACTTATTACAGGTTTATATTGATATTATAATTATATTTTTGTAGTTGGAGGGAAGTGCAAATGTGTGTGTGTGTGTGTGTGTGTGTGTGTGCGCATGCATGCATGCATGTATGTACAGTGGTTGGACAAAATAATTGGAACACTTGTTAAATTCAAAGAAAATTTATTCAATATGAAGTTGGTCCTCCTTTAGCCTCACAGACAGCTTTAATACATCTAGGAATGGAATCATACAGCTTCCTGACTTCATCCAGAGGAATTTTCAGTCATTCTTCCATTAAAACCTTCTCCAGCTCTTTACGACACGATGGTGGAGGATAGCGGCTCCTAACTTGTTGCTCCAAAATGCACCACAAATGTTCAATAATATTGATATCTTGAGATTGGGGAGGCCACTCCATGTATTCTAGCTCACTTTCATGCTCTTCATACCAATTCTTAACCACTTGAGCAGTATGTATTGGGGCATTATCGTCTTGGAAGATGCAGTCACCATCAGGGAATAAAGTCTTGGCCATTGGATGAACATGATCTCCCAAAATGTTCAGGTAATATATATTTGCATTCTATTTCCTCCTATTCATCATCTGTCTTTATGACCAACTCATGACAAGTTAATTTTCTTTTATCAACTAAAACAAAAATTGCTTAACTAATTTGAAAGATATATTAAAGAATTGAAAAATTGTATTTAGAAAAATCTTTCTTCCCTTAATAATTTAAATTTGTTCTTTTACATAATTTTAGATACATAATCTTGCTACTTGCTTGTTCAGGTTAATTCAGAGGTTAAAGCAGATTTGAAAAAGCAATGATAAAATGGGAAATAATCTTAAAAGTATAGAAAAGTTATTCAAGCCAAAATTGAAATATTCACTTAATTAGAATTAGTGACTGTTCGGAGTTCATACAAACTACCAAAATGAGGGGTAGAGATAAAAAAAAAAAACAGTTAATGTATTAGTAATGCAAAATAGCTTACCTTTATTATTTATATTAATACACAACTGCACACATTTTGGACACAAACTGATTTTCATTTATATACAGCCATTAAATAACAATATTGTTAAATTGTGAAATATATAAATACTGATGAGATTGAAACCAATGAGTAGAGTAGCTTGCTAAATGTTTCTTCAAAATGTAATAGGTTTGTGAATAGAAAACTCTTTAAACTAGGATGTCAGAGTTCCAAATTATAGTTGCATACTGAGAGGTAGTGAGTGTACGAGAAAATCTGAGAGAGAATAAAATAACCAAAATGTATCTTTTATTCCTTTAGAAAACTATATCCAAATCTATCAAGAATTTAAAATTCAGTTGACTGCATCATTATCCAGATTATGATTGGTGGGGGGGGGGGGTTGACTGTCTAAGGCTTTTTCTAAAAACTTTTAAATTCATATTTCCCCACTGGCAATTACTCAATCTCCAGAAAAACATCTTACAACCATCCTTAAGTCAGTTCAATATTTCTCTATTCAGTTTACAAAATGGATTTCAGTTACAAGTGGAATACAAGAAACTTTAAATGAATTAAAACTTCTCAGAGTATGACAAAATTACCAAAACTTTGCTTTAGAAATAACTTAATTCTATCATTTCTAGTAAAATTCAACCATATGCTAATATTATTTTATGCTCTGTATATTTTAAGATTTGCAAATCATTTTGTAAAATGTATGTTGAACTTTGCTTGATTTATTAAATATCATAGCTCTAGTCATCTAATGAGCGCTTTTTGGCAGAAGTTCTGCTAACCTAAAAAAAAAAAAAAACCCCATGAAATTCTCATAATTTTCACATTTTTTCAGTTGTATTATTAAAGACAAAATAGTCAGAATATCTTAAATGTAATTAATGCAAACCCTTTAATAGAAACACCTCAACATTAGAGATAACTAATCAAAAAGCTAGGAGACCAAAGAAAATCACTTCACAATGAGCGAACTGTCTGAATATTTGCTTTTAGAAAATTCTTAATCAATTGAATCAATAGAATAGAATAAAAAACAAAGCAAAATAAGGTGAATAGATCAGAACAATCTCATTGACAGGGGAAAGTTGAACCAGAACATGTACTTACAGGATAAAATGCTTTAATAGCATATAGATTAATTTAGGAGAGATGCAGGGTCAATCAATAAGCCCATAGGTATAGCAATAATGTGTTTATATGTGCATATATAGAAACAGGTGGTGAGGGGGGCATTTCTCCTGGTGTCAAGTAAGTTGTAGAAACCTTTAAAAAGAAAGTTGCCCTAATTATGTTTCATAACTACCATCATCAGTCATTTCCAAGCAAAGAATGTAAAAATTCAAGAGAGACAGTATAGTTTGTTTTTTGTGTGTTGTTAACAGCAATATTTAATATGAATGAGGGTTCACATGCCATGATTAGGAAATAGATCTTAGCATAACATGGCAAAAATAATCTTACAGTTCAAAGGCATTTTAACATGTGTACTTAAATTAAAACAAACTTTATTAATAGTGGGTTGCCTTTTTATGTAAATGGCTTCCAAGATTTGTAATTGTTTTCTACAGTTTGAGTGGCAGAGAGCTGAAATTAAGAGGGCACCATGAATTTGTTATATGTTAACACGGCACTTTGCTTAAATAATCAATGTTGATTTTTTGGATTTTTTTTAAAATCAGAGATAGTCTTTCTTGAAGACAAGAGAATCTGTACACAATTTCGTTTTTTTGTGGAAAAATGTCAGTAATAATATTGCTAAAGTATTACTTTTTTTTATAGTATAATGATGAATCTTAGGCAGTTATTACTGTCAGCAGGAGTTATATCTAT